TTTACGAAGCCTTCTATTCCAAAATAGCTGCTTATACATTTTTCTCTAGTGCAGATGGAACATTCTCAAGGATTGACTACATACTGGGATGCAGAGATAGACTCAACAAATGTAAGAGGGTTGAAATCATACCAACCATATTCTCTGATCATAATGCTTTGAAAGTAGAGATCAACTGCAAAAAGAAATCAGGAAGAACCACAAATACAAGAAGATTAAACAACATGCTACTGAAGAATAACTGGGTCAGAGAAAAATCAAAAGAGAGATCAAGAGATACATAGAAACAAATGATGATAGTACAACACATCAAATCTTTTAGGACACGGCAAAAGCAGTCATAAGAGGAAAGTTCATATCATTACAGGCCTATCTCCAAAAACAAGAACGAGCCCAAATAAACAACCTAACGCTTCATCTTTAAAAACTAGAAAAGGAAGAACAAATGAAGCCTAAAGTCAGCAGAAAGTAAGCAATAAGCAAAATTAGAGCAGAAATAAATGAAATTGAAAAAAAAATAGAAAAAATAAATGTAACGAAGAGCTGATTCCTTGAGAAGGTTAATAAAATTGACAAATCCTTGGCTAGACTCACTAAAGAAAAAAGAGAAAGGACACAAAATAAACAAAATCAGGGATGAAAGGGGAAATTATGACAGACATCACAGAAATACAAAGGATCATACAAGAATACTATGAAAAAATATGTAACACCAAATTTAATAACCTAGAAGAGATGGAACAGTACTTAGAAAAATACAGCCTCCATAAACTGAATCAAGAAGATCTGGAATATCTAAATAGATCGATCAGCAGTATGGAAATTGAAACAATCATCAAAAACCTACCAATATGTAAAAGACCAGGACCAGATGGCCTCACCCGTGAATTCTACCAAACATTCAAAGAAGATTTAATACTCTCCTCAAACTCTTCCAAAAAATCGCAGAGGAGGAAATACTTCTTAACTGATTTTATGAGGCCAATATTACCCTGATTACCAAAACCCAGTAAAGACAACACACAGAAAGAAAATTACAGACCAATATCTCTCATGAACGCAGATGCTAAAATCCTAAATAAGATACTAGTGAACAGAATACAGCAACATATTAAAAAGGTTATACACCAAGATCAAGTGGGCATCATCCCAGGGGCACAGGGATGGTTCTAAACATACGCAAATCAATTAATGTGATACACCCCATAAACAAATTAAAAAATAATCATATGATCCTATCAAAACATGCAGAAAAAGCCTTCGACAAGATACAGCATCCATTTATGATCAAAACACTTAACAAAATTGGTATAGAAGGAAAGTACCTTAACAGAATAAAGGCCATATATGACAAGCCCTCAGCCAACATTATACTTAATGGTGAAAAACTAAAAACCTTCCCTCTAAGATCAGGAACAAGGCAAGGCTATCCACTATCACCACTGTTATTCAATATAACATTGGAGGTCCTAGCGAGTGCAATCAGGCAAAAGAAAGATATAAAAGGCATCCAAATAGGAAACGAAGAAGTCAAACTGTCACTATTTGCGGATGACATGATTCTCTATATAGAAAACTCTAAAGACTCCACAAGAACACTACTAGAAAAAATAAGCAAATACAGTAAAGTTTCTGGATACAATATCAATGCTCAAAAATCCATAGCGTTCTTATACAGTAACAATGATGTTACTGTATAAGAAAAAGAAGTAGAAAAATTAATTCCTTTTGCAATTGCAACAAAAAGAATAAAATACCTAGGAATAAATCTAACGAAACATGTGAAGGATCTATATAATGAAAGCTATAAGACCCTATTAAAAGAAATTGAAGAAGATACAAAGAAATGGAAAGATATTCCGTGTTCTGGGACTGTGAGAATCAACATAAGTACAATGACCATATTACCCAAAGCATTATACACATTTAATGTAATCCTCAACAAAATCCCATCAGCATTTTTTTAAAGAAATGGAACACAAAACCTGAGAATAAAGAACGAGGCTGGAGTCATCACTTTGACTGATTTCAAATTATGCTACAAACCGGCAGTAATCAAAACAGTATAGGCAGAAAAATGGACACATGGACCAGTGGAACAGAATCAATATTCTAGAAGTAAACCCATATTTATATGGGCAAATAATTTTTGACAGAAATGCCAAAAATATACAGTGGAGAAAGGAAAGCCTCTTCAGTAAACTGAAAAGCCACCTGCAAAAGAATGAAACTAGACTGTTGTCTATCACCACATGCCAAAATTAACTCAAAATGGAATAAGGACCTGAATATAAGATCTAAAACAATAAATTGTATAGAAGAGAACATAAGAATTAAATTGAAAGACCTTAGACTTAAAGAGGATTTTATGAATTTGACCTCAAAGGCAAGGGAAGTAAATGCAAAAATAAATGAATGGGACTACATCAAACTAAAAAGCTTCTGCTCAGCAAAAGATACCGTCAACAAGTTAAAGAGACAACCATCCAAATGGGAAAATATATTTGCAAGCAATGCCTCTGATAGGGGCCTAATATCCAAAACATACAAAAAAAATTCATACAACTCAGTAACACCAAAAAAAAAAAACCTTAAAAACAAACAAAAAACACCAAGTGATCCAATCAAAAAATGGGCAGAGGACCTGAACAGACACTTCTCCCTAGAGGACATACAAATATACGAAAGGATGCTCACAATCGCTAGCTATTAGGGAAATGCAAATCAAAACCACAATGAGATACCATCTTACACCTGTTAGAATAGCTGTTATCAACAGGAGAAGTAATAACAAATGTTGGAGAGAATGAAGAGAAAAAGGAACCCTCATACACTGCTAGTGGACTGCAAGCAAATTGGTAATAGCCACTATGGAAAACAGTATAGGGGTTTCTCAAAAAACTAAGAATTGTTCTATTGTATGATCCAGCAATCCCTCCGCTGGGTATTTACCCCAAAGACTTGAAAACCCATATCTGAAAAGATATTTCCACACTGTCATAGCAGCATTATTCATAGTAGCCAGGACATGGAAGCAACCTAAGTGTCCTACAATAGATGATTGGCTAAAGAAGCTGTGGTACATATATACAATGGAATGTTACTCAGCCATAAGAAGAGATGCAATATTGCCATTTGCAACAACGTGGATGGACCTCGAGATAATCATGCTAAGCGAAGTAAGCCAGACAGAAAAAGTTGAAAATCACATATCACTTATATGTGTGATATATTCCTAAAAGCAACAAATGAACAGGACAAACAGAGACTCATGAACATGGACAATGGACTAGTGGTTACCAAAGGGTAGGGGGGAGGTTAACAGGGCGAAAGAGAAAAAAAGGAATAAAGAGAGAAAAAAAAGAAAAAATTATAAAAAATGTATAAAACTCTTTACAGTAACTTTCTAGGAAATATAAAACAAATAAATAAAATAAAATGAAGGTTTCATCTTCACCAACAAAAAATAAAAAAAATTAAAAAAAAAAAAAAAAAAACAGCGGTTACCCCAGGGTAATGACTTGGAAAGGTACAGGAGTCTAATGGGTGTTATGATAATCTATTTCTTGACCTATTACTTCTGCTCATTACACAAGTGAGTTCATTTTGAAAGTTAACTGAGTGTGAGGGGAAAAAACTAGATACGGACAAGCTGCTAGATAGGGAGGGACATGTGGTCAAAGAAAGGTATATCTCAGTACAGCAAAGCTTTCAGCTGAGAGCGAAAAAGCAGTAAAGTGAGATATGTTCAATACCTAAGAGTACAGAGTATACCTGAAAGAGAAAGATTCCAAAGGAAGTGTGAAGAAAAAGGATGAAATCTGAGGAAAAGGAATTATCCTTGAAGATGAGGCAGATGTCATATATTCTAAGAGTAAAATACAGAAGAAATAAGGAACTGTAGATTCAATTTACTAAAACCACAAATATTCTCAAGAACCATGTAAATCAGGCATTGTTCTAGAGGCTGGAGATACAGCAGTAAACCAAATAAAACATTCTCTCTGTTAACATTCTAGTGAAATAGAATTATAAGAATTTACCAGAAATTTTTACTTTAGATTATGGCCCAGTCTATACAAATCCCCACTGAAAAAAGATAATTATGTAGAGTCATTTGAAGACTCACATCCCATCTATTTATTAAGATATACTAGTTTTCTTTTTTTAATGAGGTTAAACATATATAGGATAATGTGGTACAATGCACTAATTTTAAGAGTACAACCTGATACATTTTTATACAATTATATATGTGTACCTACCATGCAGATCAAAAAACAGAATATTTTTGGTACTCCATAAGGTTCCCTCATGTCCCTTCCTGGTAAATATGTCTTCAAGGGTAATCACTGTTCTGGTTTCTATCACAAGTTTTACAAGTTTTCAAACTTTATATAAATGGAACCATATAGAATGTACTCTTTTATTTCCAGCTCCCTTACTCCACATTTTTGTGAGATTTATCCATGTTGCTTTGGGTAGCAGTAATCTGCTATATTTTATTACATGCAATAATATAATTTATCCCTTTTTCTGATAATCTTCATTGTGTTCTAATGCTGGGCTATTTTGCCATATATTCTTCATTTTATCATTGATCAAAACAGACCATCAAAAAAGCTTGGTTATCAACTACAAGGGGTCATACTATTACATATTTACTGATCTAGGTACAAATGAAAAGATTGCTTATGCTAAGAAATGTTCATTGTTATTCTTATGTATAATGAAAATTATGTAATGAATTTCTGCTCTGGTTTGCTTTACCTATAACAATGAAATTCAAAATTGAAGCCCAACTTTAATCTCTCTGAATGAATACATTTCTGCATAACCATATTTTAACTCTTTCCTGGTTTTAATATTCCAACAATATTTCTTCTGAACATATGTTTTATCTATATAGAATTTTCCAATTTACTATATGGATTACTACAATCCTCTTTAAACTATGCTGTAGAATAAAGCAAGGAACAACTACAGTATTTAAAATTTACCTGGGACTCAGTCATTTCCTCTTCTTTCTGGGGATGAACAGGGCCTGAGAAGGCAGAGCTGAGAAGAGAATAAAACCATTAGACTAGGCTTGCTTTGTGGTTTCAGAAACATGCACCCAGAAGGTAAAGGTAACCCTGTAGCAAAAAGATACTTGGATCCATCAGAAAGGCCAAGAATATTCATATCACAGCGCTGCTAGTAAGTACAAAGATAACTGGTATGGTCAAGTGGACCTTAGGCATAAGGTGATAGGAAAAGGGGAATGCATATGTGGGAAATGCCCTATGAATTTATCAATAGCTCTGTATCAGAATACACAGTTCACATGGAGCTAGCTTCATGAAAGCACATAACCAAGAAAATTATAAAACTGACAAAAACCTAAGTAAGGCATTTTAGTTTATTGAAACATTTAAAGAGAAATATTTAAGTACCAACTAAATGGGAATTTAACCAAAATGTCAACTAAATGGGAATTTAAACAAAAGGCTGACATAATTATATTTTGAGGAAGAAGTATGAAGTTTGTGTGTGAGAGTAATATGTATCAGAGATATTGGTGGTGGTAAGTTAAATCCTTATTTTCCATAGTAAAAAAATAAAAATTCAAATCTGAAAAGTGTCGAATAATAGGATAAACGTGATTTAGAAAAATGGCATAAATACAAGAAGTCATATTTAAGATTTGAAAGTGGTTCTCTCTGGGAACAGAAGTAAGGGACGGGGAGAAAAGGAACAAGGTATAGTTTTACTTATTATTACAAGTCTAGTAGCACTATTCCCCCTCCCCTGCCGCCAAATACAAATTTAATCAAGAAAACACACATCATTCCAATAGATTCAAGCAATATCACAGTGTATAAAAAACATAGATGTCCTCCCCTGCATCCATTCACAGCCCCTTTCCCAGGTTTAATTTGATTGAAGAAAATTTATGTTATTTTATCGTCCGCTCTCTTTTTTCTTTGATTGTTTTTGGCTTGTTTTAAATGATTTCTGTCACTCATTTGGGTTTTTTTTGGTTTTTTTTTCCTAACGGATCTTTTAAAAGAAACTTTAGGCCAGATGAATTATAGTGGGAAAGAACAATGAGTGACCTGTAACAAAGAGATTTGCCTTCTAGTTCTCTCTGCCACTAATAAGCACTGTGATCCTGGGAATCCCATTTTCTTAGAACTATTATAACCGACTTTTAAGAGGAGAGCAGAATATGATGATATCTCAATAGCTCCCCTGGCATCAGCACTGTGAAGTTCTGTAAAGAAAATCTGATACCTTAAGGCAGGAGAACCAGCATATTTCTAAAGGCCAGATGCAGCAGATGTTACTGCCTAAAAACAGCCATTGACTCTACCTTATTCCTTGAAAACTAAAACCTAAATTTATCACCGTGGCAACATACATTCTTCCAAGGATGAATTAAAATTGATATAGGTCTATGAGGGTATTCTATTTTTCTTTGCCAATTACTCACTTTCCTAGCGTCTCTTCACAGCTAAGAGTTACATGTGACATAGTATGAAAAATTTTGTTTTCTAGTTTAAAAAAGGTGTTTGAGCTATCCAACTACAGAAGAAAGATTCAGATGATTCCTAAGATCTATTTGCATTAAAAGTCCTCTATTGATGGGGGGTGGACACTCTTTTACAAAATTATTTAGGTTAACTTTCTTTCTCCTCCATCACCTTCAGTGAGGTTGTCTTACATTTGTAGTACAGTTAAATGCATTTCTCATACTGTGCATTCCATTTTGGTTCCACCTCCATCTTCACTGATATCTACAAGATTGCTAGGAATTTGATTGGATTGTATCAAATCTATAGGTCAAACTGATGAGAAATAAAAACAAGTCTTCCAATCCATGAACATAGTGTATTTTTAATTTTTAATTTCATTAGTTTTTTTCCTTCTATTTTCAGCATACAGTGCCTGCACATATTTTGTAGAATTTATTTTTAAGTATTTAATTTGGGGGGCATGGCATTTTAAATTTTACTTCAAATTCCAATTGTTCATTGCTGGAATATAAAAACAATTTATAGTTCTAGGTGCTTTTTTGTAAATTCTTTGGGGTTTTCTACTTAATCATGTTGTCTAGAAACAGACTTATTTTATTCCTAATTTGAATGTCTTTTACGACCCTCTCTTGCTTTATTGCACTGGCTAATACTTCCAATATGATGGCGAATAATGGTGGTGACAGGACAACCTTGCCTTGTTCCCAGTCTTAGGGATAAAGCAGTCAGTATTTCACCATTAACTACAATGTAAGCTCTAAGTTTTCTTTTTTTTTTTTTTTAAGATGCCTTTTAGTATAGGATGTTCCCTTCTATTCCTCATTTGGTGAGAATTATTTTTTTATGAATAAATGTTAAATTTTGTAAAGTGATTTTTCTGTATCTATTGAGACAATATTATTCTTGTCTTTTATCATGGTATACTACAGTAACTGATTTTCAAACAGTGAATTTGAAATTCATCTTACATTCCCAAGATGAACCCTTTAGGTCATGCTATGTTATCCTTTTTGTGTATTGCTAGATTCAATTTTTCAATTCAGTGTTGAGGATTTTTGTGTCTAAGTCCACAAGAAATATTGGTCTGTAGTTTTCTTTTCTTATAATGTCTTTGTCTGGTTTTGGTGTCAGGGTAAGCCTGGCCTCATAAAATGACTCAAAGTGTTCCTCCTTTTCAGGAAGAGTTTAGGTGGAATTTCTATAATTTCTTCATTCGATGTTTGCTATTTCAACTGTGAAATTATCTGGGCATGGAGTTTCCTTTTGAGAAGATTTTTTTAAAATTGAGATGTAATTGACATATAGCATTATATTAGTTTCAGATATACAACAAAATGATTCAATATTTGTATATCTTGAGAAGTAATCTAGTTAACATCCAATACCCTAGTTATGAAATTTTTTTCTCGAAAATATACTCTTAGCAACTTTCAAATATGTTCTACAGTGTTAACTATAGTCATCATGCTGTGCATGACATCTCCATGACCTACTCATTTTAAAATGGGCAGTTTGTACCTTTTCACCCTCTTCATCCATTTCTCTCACGGTCCCCCCCACCCCCCACCCCCCACCCTAATCACCAATCTGTTCTCTGTATCTATGAACTTGGTGTTTTTGTGAAGTATTTTTGCTTGTTTTTTCTTGGTTTTTTGATTCCACGTGTAAGTGAGATCATACAGTATTTGTCTGTTTCTGTCTGACTTACTTTACATAGTATAATGCCCTCAAGGTCCCACCATGTTGTAGCAAATGGCAAAATTTCATCTCTTTTTTATAGCTGAATAATATACCATGTGTACATAGACCACATTTTTAATCCACTCATCCATCAATGGACACTAAGCTGTTTCCATATCTTAGCTATTGTAAATAATGCTGCAGTGAACACGGGGATACAGATATCTTTTGGGGTTACTGTTTTCATTTCTTTTGAATAAACAGAAATAGAATTGCTGCATCATATAATAGTTCTATTTTTAATTTGTGCCCTGTTTATCATAGTGGCTGTATGAATTTACATTCCCGCCAGCAGTACACAAGGGTTCTTCTTCCTCCACATCCTCACCAATCCTTGTAAATTATTGTCTTTTTGATAATGGCCATTCTAACAGGTATGAGGTGATACTGTAGTTTTGATTTGCATTTCCCCGATTAGTGATGATGAGCACCTTTTCACGTACCTGTTGACAATGTGTTTGTCTTCTTTGGAAAAATATCTATTCAGATCTTCTGCCCATTTTTAAATTGGATTATTTGTTTTGCTATTTGGTTCTATGAATCCTTTATATATTTTGAATATTAACTCCTTATCAGATTTATGATTTGCAAATATTTTCTCCCATTTAGTTGGTTGCCTGTTCATTTTGTTGATGGCTTTCTTTGCTATGTTGAAGCTTTTTAGTTTGATATAATCCCACTTGCTTATTTTATTTTGTTGCTTTTTCTTTTAGTATCATAGGTTTTTAACCACAAATTTAAATTTACTGATATACAACTATTTAGGTTATTTTTTACTGAGTAAACTTTGGTAGTTTGTGTCTTTCAAAAAATTTGTCCACCTAAGTTGGAGAATTCATGGACATGGAGTTGTTTGTAGTATCCCTTTATTATCCTTTCAAGATCTGTGGGGTCAGTGTGATGCCCTATCTTTCAATTCTAATACTGGCAATTTGTGTCTTGTCTCTTTCTTTTATGGTCAGTCTGTCTAGAGGCTTAAAAATTTTATTGATCTTTGCTGATATTATTGATGCAGAACCTATTTACTAACAGTCATAATTGAGCTACTCCTTCCCCACTACCAGGGGCAGTACTTTTTCTTCCAGTTCCCTTTCCTAAACTGTAAGGTTTCCAAATGTGCCCTAGGCAACAGTTTTTGTTGCTCTTTATTATGTCAATTAAAGTCTCCTTCTGTAAGAAATTAGGTCTGGGATGCTGTTCCCTTTCCCCAGCCAGCACCACAAGGAAAGATATCTCAGGATTCTCCCATCTTCCTTATTTATGATCTCCTGATGAGATTATTGTAAGAAAATCCTACAAAAGATTAAAAACTCCCCAAATTTACAACTTCTTCAGTGGTTCCACACTCTTCCTGGCCCACTTTCAACATTTAACAATTTGTTTAAAAAGTTTCGCTATATCTTCTTACTGGCTTGGCTTATATGGTGTCTGGAAGTGTCCATCCCAGATGAGTCCTGTTTCTCCCAGAAGACATCTATATTTCCTAACATTTCAGGTTACTTGGTTGCCCTGTGACCTAAATTCTCTGATATGTTCAAAAAAAGTTATTAAGTTGCAGTTCGTCTCGTTTTTTTCCTTGTTATAAGGATGGAAGCAGAGCTCTTTCTAGCTCTCCATGTCCCTGAGCAGAAACCCAAAGTCCCTCCATTACAATAAACGTTTGAGAAGGGCCATGCTTGGAAAGCATGCAGCAAACATCTGTTTATTTTGGTATGGGGCTCGAAAATACCTCCCACATGAAATTATGATTAAGACAGTATCTTAAAGTTAATTAGCTATGTTGGAGTGGGGGTGGGGTGG